ACCCCATCAAAAAACAAGAATTAGAGCAAAAGACCAAAGCAATAGAACAACAAATCCAAAATCTAGGTAATAATTCCCCCAACCCACCGATTAATCCAAGTGGCAATGGACAGCAACCACCAATTAATAATAATAAAACCCACCGGCAAATTACTGTCAAATACAATACCGAAGTAGGTGGTAAACATGAATATATTGATATTAATGATTGACAAAAAAGGTTTTTGATTGATACTAAAAATAAAATTTTTTCCTCCGCTAGTAATTTAACTATCAAAGATAATCAGTATAATTTTTCTTTTTACGAGGAGGATGCCACCGAAAAGAAAGGAAATAATTTCATTTTTGACGAGAATAATGATAATTTTCAATTAATACCTATAACCACGGCTCCCTCGCCCTCGAAAAATCCGAGTAATGACCCCCAACTCTGTCGAATAGAGGAGGAAATTAGAATTGAATATTTGTTTGACAATTACGAATACGTAAGGTTTAACAATTTTTTGATACCGGGCGATTGGAATAATCCGATACGTGTATTTATTTCCAAAAATAATCCTGTTTGGAGCGGGAGAAACTGGAACCAAACCGATTGACGAAAAACTCCTAATTTTAAAATTTCTTTCTTAACTAAAGATGCTTCTAAATATAAAGATTGAAGAGGAACTAGTGCTAGGGCTCAGGAGTATTATTTTGACGAGAACAACAACAATTTTACTTTGACAGCACTGGGAAATTGACCGGACGATAATTCCGGATCAGGATCGATTCCATCACCGAGCAACCAAACACCGCCTTCTGCTCAGGGAATAAAAAGCAAATTAACTTTGATATTAAAATGTAAATACTTATCCTCCATGAATGATAATTATACATTTGCCGAGGACAGGCTGGTAAAAGGTAATTCAGTTTTTATTCACAAAAATAATCCTGCTGTTATAAACGTCCATTTAGGCCATGAATACAAGGTAAGTTTTGAGTTAGAATCGTCAAAAGCAAGCGAATTTTTGTTGGATCCAGAAAGCAGTGTTTCTATCAAAGAAAATGACGCATTAGAAGTGGCTGAAACGTAAAACAACCCGTTAATATTATTAATAAATTATGGTAAAAGCCCAAGCATGACTAAACAAAAAATATCCCAATAAATTAACTAGAAAAGTGGTTGAGGAATTATTACCTAGATTTTGGATTTGTTGTTCTATTGCTTTGGTCTTTTGCTCTAATTCTTGTTTTTTGATGGGGT